CATAGCCATTGCGAACTTTGATGTGATGATGAAAATTGTGGTGTTGACCACAAATCAATCCACATTTTAGGCAAATCATTAGCTCTGAAATTGTAAAATGAGGTCCAAGCCTTTTCTCTTTTCTTTGAATAGCTGCTTGCTCCTTCATGACTGAAGCTAGTGGCAACAATGCCATTAAGCTTACTAACCAATTCTTTGGTGAACTGAATCACTGGCTCTTCCTTTAAGTTTTCCAGTAGGACTTCAGCATTTCTTTGTGAGGCTGTTTAGCTACTTCAGACTCTATTGGATCCTTTAGAATTGCTTCCAAAGAGGTCTTTAGTTGTTCTTCGTAGTCGCTAGACTGGGTGCAAGATGCCATAAGTTTTTAGTATACGGAAAATATACGTTCAAGCGAAACTAGCATTAAACTCAGTAAAACTGATTGTTGCCAGTCCATCCTCCTTGGTGTAGGGTCTATGATGTACTCAAAGACACTGCTATGAGACTGAGTCTGAGTAGCACACGTGCAATCATCTGCGCATGAGCAGTATGACTGAGCCACACCCTTTTGCTAAAAATTATAGTCCACAATTTTTGATAAGATGATTGTAAAACAAAATTTTAGTTGTAGCTCACTGGGCAAGAAGATCTAACTGTTTTCATTCTAGACTCAATTAATTTTATTCTAGACTCAGTTCCAATGCAACCTGATAACAGCATATAAGCATGAGTTTCACAACTGAGTAACCAGCATACTCTCCAATTCATGTTTTTAGCATTGCTCTTATTCTATTGGTTGATCAAATTTTGTTTGCATTGATAGTTCTATTGATTTTATAATGAAATTATTCCAACATACTTAATACGATCTCAGGCCAAATTTTACCACTAACTGTTAAGAGGATTTCTCAATTTTTTTAACTTTTTCTGATACATTTTACATTTAATTAAATTGAAATTTATACCTGATTTGGATCAAATTAGATTTTTAAAGTGTTTTAAAGTTATTCAAAAATTGTGCCAAAATTGTTGGCAAAATTTTGCTAAAGATTTATGATTAGGAGAAAATTCTTGATTATAATTTTTCTGATAGTTTTACTATATTTTATGACAAAGCTGATTATTAAAAGTTGCTCCAAAGGACCAAAGCCATTACTTTTCAGCTCATAAAGGATGCTAAGAAATGAAACTATCAATCACTTACTCCTAACACACAGCCTACAGCAGTAAATCATGTATCAGTTAATTGCAACATTACTCAACATTACTTTATAAAAAAGAAAGTGACTGTATATAAAGTAGTATACAAAGGTGCATATGTTTCCCCAAGATGCATTATTATCAATAGGTAATAATGGTGTATTAAATTATTTTGCTCTAGTAGTAATGGATGTACAGTTCAAATCCTGAATACTCCTTCACTTGAGATAATAAAGCATAGAAGTATCATTGGAATGATCCACTGACACACCTAAAATAATCACAATGAACTAAACAGCATGCTTTATTAGCTGACAATTAATGATGTTCAATTGAAAAAAATTAGAATTGATAAAAAAATCAAGTCCAACTTGCTATAAATCTCAAATAAGCAAAATAAGAACTGTATATTTATCAAAAAATTCTAAAATGGAGAATTTTTTTTATTGGCAAAATGGTCAATTCTGACCAAAATCCCCTCCAACTTTTTACTCAGTTAACATATATTATCAGAAAAAAGTCTAAATTATGGCTTTTGTGCCAAGTATTATGAAAAACAATCTCATAAATAAAAAAGCTGCAATGTAAGGTTGAGATTTTGGTAGCATCGGTACTTACATTGTATGGTGTGAACTGTGTAACCCTACTGAGTCTTGTTTCCCTTCCTTTGTACACTCAACTCTACTTCATTTTATTTTAATTCATGTCTCTAGTTATTATTTATATTTAATTTTATATTTGGTAAATTTTACCTTAAAATGGGTGACAATTTTAAAAATAATTTAAATTGTGCTTTGAAGTGATTTTTAAAATAATATTAAATTGAATTACAAATATGATGATCATAGACAGACAACCAAAGTACTTAATATAAAAAGCTCGCCATGCAGGCAAGTCCAATAATCATGTATAGTTAATATTGCATAGGGGTAGGAACAGGGGGGGCAGGAGGGGCATAAGCCCCCCCCCCCAACTTTGATTGAAGGGGGGCTTAGCCCCTCCAACTTTAAGTGATATACATGTATTACTATTATCAACACTATAGACTTTAGTTTAGGTAATCCTTATATGTGTGCATATTGTGTGATGATTCATTTCATAAAACAATTAATACAGTCTAGCTTAACTTCTAAGAACGCACACTAGTTTTTTTCAGAAATACACAAACTTCTACTTTTTTATTTAACAAATCTGTTAACATTAGCTTCATAGATTTTTGACGTTAAGGAGATTAAAAAACTACTTGCGCTCCACAATGTCACAAGAGCATCTTGATCATGTAGTTATTTTGCATACACATAAAGAATTTACAGACAATTTATACATCGAGGACATTGCAAAGGAATTTGTTACATTTAATGAGCATAGACGCCAATATTTTGGACAATATTAATTTCAGTACAATGATCAATTGTTAAATCATGCTCCTATGATTGCCAATAAATAATACCTTAGCCCCCCCAACTTTTAGTTTGTTCCTACCCCTATGGTTAATTGTAAAGCACTAGCTACCTTACACTTGCTCTCTTAGCCTTGTTCATAATTTCCTCATTCCACTTTTGCATTGCATTATTACATTATCCAGTACTTCTGGTACAATGTAAGTATTGTGAACAAAGCATTTGATGCCATTTATCATTGTTAAAAGTTTGCAAAAATATTAAGTCTTGGCACAAATTTTTACTACAACTTCACTTCAATCAAGAATCAATGTTGCTCAACTACTTCATGTGCTACAATCAATAATACTATATACCACACAAACAAAGTATATAAATAAAATTAGGTTTTCTTTTATAGCAGACATGCAATATTCATTAAATGACAAAACATAGTCATAAGGATAAACACAGTTTGAAACTATCTGTAGTAATTCTAGTTTAACAGAATTATTACTGTCAAAAGCACATGAAACTAGCTATGAGGAAGGAATGCAGTATTTATCTCTAATGTTACGAGCAATAATTTTTTCTTCTATTGTATCCAGTGCTGCAGCTAATGATGACCCACTGGGATGTCTTACTTTATCTTCTCCTCTTAACCAGGCAGACATACACTCATGAAAACAGTCCACTGGATCTCCTCTGTTCTTCTTGTCTATATCCACTAGCCTGGGATAATATAATCCTAACTGTAGACCTATAGTCTGTGCCATACAGAACAGGGCAATTGTTGATTTGTTGTTAATTCTTTAATAACAATATCAAGATCTTTAACATCTAAAGCAAAAACAAACTTAAACACATACTACTACCACTTAGAACTACCTAGTAGCTTATGATGTTGCACTTTATTGTAATCAAATGGAGTATAAGTGTCTCCTAA